ACCTTCAAAGATCTAAAACACATATATTAATTAAGAAGCAAAAAAAATATGACAATTAATTTCTTATCACATAAAGCGAACTCCACCTCAAGATCTTTAACAAAATATAAGAAATTAATTCTACAAGAATAACAACAGAAATCGGGATTGAGCAATAAGACAAAATATGAAAGAATATATTGCAGCGACAAATGATATGAAAGAATCAATCTGGTTACAGGATTTGCTAAGTGAGCTTGATGCAATAAAGCTTACTAAAATCTCAACAGATGACAATCTTGCAGATATGACTGCAAAGGTAGTTCTTCTTAGCAAATTTAGACATGGTCTAAGTTTGCTAAACTTGTGTAAGTAATGGTTTTAGCTTGGGCAATCTCATTATGTTTTTATTCTTTTATTTTCATTTTAAATAAAGGTGAAAAATTAATATAAGTATTTTAAAATAAAATAAGTTGATTAATTTAATTAACTGATGTGATAATTTGCAGGAACAAAATAACCTAAAACTAAATCAACTCATAACAGTTGCAACGTTTCCCAATGTTTCACATTCCTTTTCAATACTCTTTTTCATGATTGTTTTGAATTCTACATGGACGAAATGGCCATCTTGAAATAACTTTTCAAGGATTCTTGCAGAAGGTTTGTTTAACCACCAATAAATGGACATCCATTCAAATAATTAACTATATGTACCTCGCTATGCATTATAATGATCAAGGTTGAAAATTTAATAAAAGAGATAATTTTTTTTTCAATATATAGTCATATAGGAGAGTAAATTGGATGACAAGTAGAAAAATGTTTGGTTGACTAGGATATTGATATAGTCTTAACAGTCATAGTTGATAAAGCAAGTTTTAATAATAGTATTATTACTCGTCTTAAAGGAAAAAATGCTAAAAGAGAAAAGAGTGTTCTTGATGGTTAGTTCTTGAATATGAGATGTGTTGTGTATATCATAAACTTGATTGTACAAGATAAGATCAAAGAGGTTGGGTATTTTGTCCCTTGTGTCATAGAAGTTGTGAGATACACAAGGCAATCACTAGTTAAACTTCAAAAAATTAAAGAATGCATCAAAGTTGAAAAAAAAATTTAAAGCAAGAGCATATAGTGCTTGGATGCACCAACAATATAGAATTTTACATATTTAATGTTAAATACAGCACAAAAGTTTAAGAGGCATTTGAGTATTATGAAGATATTGACACCCAATTCAAAGCTGAGTCAATGAAGAAAGAGGAGGGGAGTCATGGTCCAAGTGGGGTTCCATTTGAAAGTGATAGGAAAAATCTGGGAAGATTAGTTTCTTTCTTAGGAAAGCTCAATGAGTTGACTTTATGGATTTATGCATCATTGTACGTCACTTCAAATATATTCTGCCATGAGATGCAAAGATCTTATGAATACTTTAAAGTTAGGAATTAGATAATGATCTTGATATCTGGAACATGGCCAAGAAGATAAAGCTGAATTTTAATAAATAATTGGGAAGTGTTGAAAAGATGAATTTAAATATTTATTTAGTAGTTGTGCTTTATCCTCAAATTAAATTGCGATGTATTGAGTTTGCAATTATGGATATTTATAAAGATTCTAATGGGATTGCTTTGGCACAATTGATAAGGTTGGCCTGTTACAATAAGTTCTACGATTATAAGATGAAGATACTTGGACAAGGAAAGATGAAAACATAAATTACATAAAGCAATGTTTGGCAGAAGGGCCTAGAATTTAAATGATGGTGGGAGAAGATATATAATGGTACAAAAGTTCAAAAGATAATTATGGAAGAGATAAATTCGATTGAAAACAGACTTGAAGAAATACTTAACTGAAGATTCTAAAGTCATGAAAGATGGTTTTGATATTTTGACATAGTGGAAGGTTAGTGCACCAAGATTTCTAATTCTATGTCAAATGGCATGAGATATCTTAGTGGTTTGAATTCCTATTGTTGCATTTGAGTCATTATTTAGTACAAGAGGTCATGTACTTAATGCCTTCAAAATTTTGCCTCCAAAGATTGGGCAAACTTTTATATGTGCTTAAGATTTGATGAGAGCAAAATGGACAACTAATTCTGTGAATATTGAGGAGGATATTCATGATGTGGATAAATTTGACGAAGGTAACAATAGCAATGTGCTAAAAATTATTATTATTAATTTATTTACTATATTCTCTTAGATTTATCAAATATTACAAACAAATTAACAACTGATAAAAAGTCCTTTCATTTTCGACAAGTGGAAGACCATGTAGATCAACTTTTTGTTAACTTGTTGAGTTTCTCAAATTTTAACTTATTGATTTGCATATTGAAATATTATGAAATTGTGAGGCTTGAAATGTAATAAAATAATACTTTTTGAGTATGAATGGGATGCTTGAATGTTAACTTCTTTTTTGTTACATGATCATTATTGTGCTTGGGCCATCTTTTTTCAGTTTGTTTTTAGAAATTCTAAATATAGGAATAGGATATTGTTGATCGCTGCACTTTAAATGTGATTGAGCAATAAGACTCATACACTAAAACAAAATCTGAAACTGATTCAACGAATAAATATGGTAGCAGTACAAAGGATTTATGCTAATCGGGCAAATAGAATCCATATTAAAGAAACTTGACAAAAAAAGATAATTACAGACTTGAAAAAACTAAAGAAATTGTAGAGCTATATATTAGGTTAGGCATCATTGGTTTATCCTACATAAATTATAGAATTTATTTCTTAGAAATAATTTCCAATTGCCTGAGAAGAAGGATGACATCTTGCACAAGCCTATTATAGTCCTCAATTTAAACTTCCCAATCTTGCAGTCTATGGCTATTCCCATCTGTATTAACATTAATTTATAATATTTTGAACTTTAAATTCAATAATAGTAAGCACAATAAGAATCATAACAAAACATTGAAATGATTATGCAATTTCATCTTAACCAAACCAAATTAAAGTCCGACTTTGTCAGAAGTTTGGTCAGTTCGGTTTATCAAATGGTGGATAAAAAACCAACTGGTTAAGTTTATCTATCAACTAAACCATCCAAACAAACTGATTATACACTGCTAGTTTTGGCCTTGATGAGGAATTTTTTTTTTAAAGAAAAACTTTTAATACATGCAACTACTAGATTTTCTATAGCATATTTGACTGTTAAAGCATACTTGTAGAAAGGAAACCTATGGAGGCTATGTTCACCTCCACATAGTGGTTAATTGGTGTTTGGGATAAAAAAACTTTAAGGTAAAGAAGTTAAGAAGATTACTTTGAGAGATAGATTTTGATTAAGTGTGACTTATACCATTACAATAACTAAGCCCTTCGTTTGTGCTTTAAGTTTGATTAATATGGAGAAAAGGCTTGATATGTGTTTCATTTTGTAATGCAAACTAGATAAATGGGTGCTAATACTCCAATTTTTAAAGAGACTTAAAATGTTTATGATCATATTTTGACAGAGTGATGCAGAATGAGCATCAAGAGCTAAAGCAATAAGGATTTGCACTAATGAAAAATAATAATAATAAGTGTAGGAAGAACCACTGCAATTTCTACAATAGTAAACCTTGATGAGAGGAAAAGCTAAAGAGATACAAATCCATGAAAAGAGGGCATAGATAATGATTAAGATGGAATAGCTAACAACAAAAATTATTCCATCCTTACGTAATGCAAAATGCAAATTTTAAATATACTTTTTTAAGCTATATATTTAATTAGATTTTTCAACTTGATATGTAACGTAAAAAAAAAAAAAATTGTTTCATCGAACATGATATAATGTATTGATTATAGTTTTATGATCTTCAAAAACACATAATTAGAAAGTTTATCAAGTGCCATGTTATTTCATTTTTAGTGTCTCACTTTGCATGGGCTAGCATCCATGGTGGCGCCAAACATCTTGTGCGTTATGTAACCATATTTCCTTGAGGGTGGCAATGCTTTTGATAACACTAGTTTAAAAACATTCATAAAAATGTATATATACAAAGATATTCATATTTTAGACAAGCACATGAAAATTTGACAATAATAATAAAAGTCTCATACAAGGCAAACAAAAGCTTAGTCATACCCCACAAAAAAAATCCCTGAGAGAAATGACCTACATACCACATTTGCCTAAATGTTAAATATATCACTACCATTTTCCATCCGTTAACATTGGAATATAGATCTACAGCATATATTAAAAGTATATATTTCACTTGATGCTTCAAAATTATAGACTATTTGGCAATTTCCTTAAAGTACCATGTAGTATATAAGCATTGGCAAGCATAAAATATACATTCAAAATCCATTTAGAATTATTTGATCTTCATTAAGATGCACTTCAAGGTTAAAGTGTGAAACTATTGAAAGAAAATCAATAGAAGGATCACAATGGAGATAACTTTAAAGACCAGAAATTTTACAATTTTAAAAAGGAAGGAAGAGCAACAGCTATGTCATTAGCATATCTGTAACCTTTCAGCAATCAAGCTATATACTTTGGCGAACCAAATCAAGATACTTGAATTTTCAATTCAATTCCTGGGATATCTTTCCCAGGGAAAAAAAAAAACAGCAGAAACTTAAAGATTTTAACCTCTAATTGTTAAAATAAAAGAGTTATCTCTAGGACACCACAGGAATTTTGAAAACAGATTGCACAGTTAACTCAAATAATTTTCAAGCAATCTAATCTGCAAATAAAAAGCATGCAACAAGTGAATAGGGTTCTACTATCCAAAATCACATTAAGTATCCTCAGTAGTCAATACTAGGAAACCGGCAGGGCCCTCATTGCTTCATCAGATCAAACAGCTATGCCCTAAACTGAACATCGCACGTTTTATCAAGCGTATCAAAATTCTCCCAATCCTTACAAACGAGAGCACGCAGTAAGAAACAGAATAAATTTTGAACATTTGCATCCAATGGGTTCATAAAACAGAAAAAAAAAACTATAGAAAAACAAGAAGGAGATCGGGCAAGTACCACTCCGGTGGCGCTCCGGGTTGAAATTGTTAATTTCTGGTCGTAACTATAATCCTTCGTAAGCAGATCTGGGTCATAAGCAAACGTTTGGAATATTAAATTTTCAGGAAATACAAAACGCAGCACAATCAGCATCTGTGGAAAGGATCTGGCGAGGCACGGAAGACTCACCCTTCGCCTTCTTCCCGATGTCAGAGAACAAACCCGGACCCTTCATGATTGCAGAAGCGGAAGAGATGGAGAGAGAGAGAGCGGGGGTCGGGAAACAGATGCAACGAAAATGGAGAGCAGATATAGGGGGATGGATGGTTGGGGCACGCGACAAAATTTGTTTATTTTCCTGATTTTTCGGTCTTCTCCGATAAAAAATTCTATTGTTTTTTATTACTAAAATTTGCATTCTTGACACAAATTTTTTAAGGCTTCATTTTGAACAATAAACAAAAATAGTCTTATTTTTAGGAACGTTATGGGTATTATATTTTGTAAGAAAATTTAAATAATAATTCTCTTATTATAATAATATTTAATTGAGTCGGCCCCAATCGCCACATTTTGATCACCTCACAATCATCCTTATAAGATCAGTATCATTCAGCTACCACCATCAAATGATCTCCTAGCAATCATTATTGAACTATCATTGCTCGAATACAATCTTCTGACAATTATCATTCGGCTAAGCCCTTCGACCCTGATCACCTAACAATAGTCTTTCTAACTCTGATCACCTGACAAATAATCCTCCAATTATGATATTTTAACAACAATCATCGGACTATGATACTCCGACAACTGTTGTCTATTTACGAATCTCCGACCACTATCATATGATTATTATCCTCTAACTACATCAACACTTACTGACTTATTTATCTCAATGACATTGATGAGCAAGATTTAGACTAATTATGGCCTTCAATGTGAAAACTAAGATTCTTATTAAAATTTATGGTCTCTACTAAATAAATGACAAATAATTTTTTGAGGATAGCTCTCATGACAGATCATTATTCCAACTTTTAATAAAGAATTTATAATTTATTCTGCACATTTTATATATGTTGCGTCCATGAGTATTCGCGGCGGTAGAGAAATATAAAGTTTAACATCTTAGCGTTATTTTTGACCTCGTTTTTGTCCTAATTTGTCCTCGAATGTGTTTGAGCGTGTTGATCGAGCCTCATAGAGCTTGATTCAATTCAAATTGGCATTGATTTGAGTTTGTTTTCATATTATATTCTATTTTATTGATTTAATGTGGTTTAGTCGAGGCGAGCCCGAGTTAGCTCGAATTAGATTTGATTTGAATCTGATTTTAGCTCAACTAGTTTAATTTAATTTCAATTAAAGTCTAAGTTATTTTCTCACGGTTTGAATCTTGTCCCTAAAAAAAAGAGAAATAGCTTTGACGGTCCTGATTTGGTCAAAACACGAGACCTGTTGTGATCAGCTTTTTAGTCACGTGAACCCTCAAACGGGAGGGGGAATCACAAGACAGGGGGGCGGGATCCCCTTTTCAGCTCTCGTCCCTGGTGCCCGAGGAAGCCCTAGCCGCAAACGACCCCGCTCTCCTCTCTTCCTCATCCCGTTCCCTCTCGGTTCCAAGACCGAACTCCCTACTCCCTTTCTCTCGGGATTTCTCCTGTACGCAGAAGTCCCGACGCCTGGCTCTCTCCATCTCCCGCTAGTTCACAGGAGCCTAGAGGTCGAAGCCCCTCCTTCGGTCTGTCTCCTCCTTGTTCGCAGAGCTCGGCTCCGGCTCCTTCCCTCTCTCGTGTGGCTGACCCGAGCGGAGCCCCTCTAACCCGACCCTCTGCTCCGACTCTCTAGCCGAACCCGATGCCGCCTTAGCCGACATCGTTGCTGGACTTGTTCGCCTCTACTGCACCAACCGCAGTTTCTCCTCATCCTTCCAGTTCGACGACCGCAGCTGGACTTCAGCCAAACCGTTGCCCACCGACGGACTTCCGCCAGTCTGTCTACCGACGCCGGACTTCCACCAATTCACCAACCACTGACGGACTTCTGCCAGTCAGTCGACCGCCGCCAGACTTCCACCAGTTCGCCGATTGCCGCCGGACTTCCACCCATCCTTCAACCGCCGTCGGACTTCTACCAGTTCATCGACTGCCGTCGGACATCCGCTTGCTCGCCGACCATCGTCAGACTTTCATAGTTTGCCGTCTGCCATCGGAATTCCACCAGTCTGTCGAACACTGCAAGACTTCCGCTAGTCTGCCAACTACAGTCCTCCCAACCACTGTCATCCAACTACGATCCTCCCGACCTCCGTCGTAATACAACGGTCCTTCTGACCTATGTCGCTCACACACTACGATCCTTCCGACCTCCGTCACCTGCCGAATATGGTTCTTGCGATCTACATCGCTCGTCGACTATGGTTTTGCCACCCCAAACAAACATATCAACATTGATTCTTCCAACTTCCACCACGCAATGCATTTTATATGATGTATTTTTGTTACTTCGAGCCAAGGCCTTCCTCCTAAGGATGGGCCTCATTTGTAATCAATTGCAAGCATCAGTGGATTCATTCAAACTGGGCAAGGCCCCGTGGTTTTCCCCCCTTTTTAGGGGTTTCCACGTAAAAACTCTGGTGTCTCTTATGAACGCTACACCCTCATCTCTTTCATTTGCTTGTGTTCTGGATCTTCGTACAAAGCTAAGGCATTAATCTTTATATTTCTCTACCGCCGCGAATTTTCCAGGACGCAACAAGTATGTATACAAATATGGCTTGATTGAATTCTAGGAAATAGCTTCTTGTCTGAAATTATGATTCATTTCTTTTACAGAAAAGGTATTTGTAATATTTGCAATAACTATTTCAAGGGAGCATTAGTATCTTTTCTTCTCTCCAATAACTCTTGATTATGAAAGAATCTCAGTCCTATATTTATAAAGTGCATCGTTGATAGGTTGGCATGGGATTCACAAGTTTATTGTTTTCTTTTAGAGAAATATTTGAGGGTATTGTGTTTATTCATACATCTTTTATATTAAGTTATGAGTATTCTTGAGTTTAGCATAATGTGATATGGGGACGTCGAAAAGGAAATAGATGACAATTTCTTGACTTGTTAAAGGTTGTTTTATAATTAAAAAAATTTCATGAATCCTCATATCGGTGAAGGTTTTTGCGAAAAGTTTTACAAGTTATTTTGTGTTGTGAAATTTTATGAGATGTTTTATGAAAAAAAAAGCATTTATGAGTTGTATTTATTGGAAAGACTTTGTGGATTATTTTGTCTTGAGAAGTTTTATTATGTGCTTTATGGATGTTTTATGATAGAGAGCCTCATGAAGCCTTCTTATTAGAAGGTTTTCATGAACATATCCCACTCCAAATAAAAGAGAAGAGCACTTGAATTATTTTGTTTTATGTTGGGAAGGTTTTAGTAGGTCGTTCATGTAGGACCTTATGTGTAGTCTTATTGGAAAAGTTTTATAAGTCTTTTGGGGATCCATGGTCTTGCGATTGGCTTTGGGTTGAAAGATTCTGTTGTGTCTTTGTTTGTTTGAAGTAAATGATTTTGTTTATGTGGGCAGTTGTCTTTCTTCTTGCTTGCACTTATTTTCTAGATGGTTTTAGATTAGTGGGTAGTAAGAGCATGTTGTTTTGGGTTTTAAGTGAGAGGTCTATGTTGGGGATTTGTTTCTTTTTGTCGATTGGAGCTTTATTTAAAGGGTAGTTAAGTTTGTTTGAGTTGAGTCATATATCAAGTGCTTTACTTGGATCGTGGGGACAGTAGAATGGCATCAGAATGCCCTCCCTCCTACTCATATCACATCGAATAGGGGTGAGGGGAATTTTAGAGACATGTTTGGCTTCAAAGAAGCATGTCCATTAGCAAAATGCCTACATCCCTTTATTGTTTTGTTTTCTCTCCCCTCCCGTTCTTTTTGATATTTTTGTAGTTCTCATTTTTTTTTTCTTGCATCTCCACTACTTTTATACTTGTTATCTTATTTCATTCATAGATTCCTAAACTTGCTAGTTTATGTACGAAGTCCTAATGGTTAGAAAACATTTGCTTTAGTCTCATAACACTAGTGACATCTAAGGATAAAAATTAAGGATCGGTCTTAGATAACATAGACTTAGGATGCATGCTCCTTATATGATAGAGACATCTAAACTTAAATTTAGTTACACATTTTCCTAGATCTAGTATTCCTTAACTCACTAATAATCAACCAATGAAAGTTAACCTTAATTCAATGTTTAACAAATACACTAACACACTTAATTTGTACTCGAACCATAATTAATATTTCATAATCTCTAAAATACAAAACTTAAATTAGATCCAACAAATCTAATAATCCACTCATATAAAAAAAAACTTAAAATTTAAAAGATATAGATTGAGTTAGGAAAACAAACCTAAGCTAAAACTCATTAAACTAAAAATCTTCTAAAACCCGAATCTACTAACTTACCTAAGTATTAATCAAACCCTAAGCTAATCTTTTAAAACAAATCAACAAATCTTTTAATATAACTATATCAACTTGGTTTTTAGGATGGACTACTCCGGGCTGCGGGGCTAAGTGTCCTAAGGAGGCCTGGTTCCTCGAGCCTGGTGGCACAATGCCACGAACCAGTTGATAGCAAACTTAAATAATTTGATCCCTGAATCGAGAATAAATCATCTAATCCACCTTTTCTTTTAACTTACAACCAATTAAAATAAATCAACTAAATACTAAAATAAAATCTCTAAAATTAATCCTAAAATACTAATATTTAGACTTAAACCAAAATCCTCCTTCTGCCCTTCAACAAATCAAATGAAAGCAATTATAATTAAACTTCCATACATAAGACCCATCCAAAACTACACAACCTACACAAACTTAGATTGGTTTGCTAGGACACGACTACTAGCTTTAGATTAGGCCAATGTCTTTCTTTTGTTGTTCAGTGTTTACTATGTACACATGCTTTATAAATGCAATTATTCAATTTCCTGTTAGCTATATTCAATTTCCTGTTAGCTATACCTTTATTATTTATCTGCATTTCTTTTCTGAACGGCATCTACGCTCATATATATATTTTTCTGTTATCTTTTCTTGCGAGGTACATTGGAGCTTAATGATCGGGAACTAAACGAGGTTGTTGGTTTATAAGCTTTTAAGTGGCAGCGCCACATATAGTCAGGTATAATTTCTGCAGCTTGCAAAAATAAATCTTTAATTATATATCAGAACTGCTTCACATCACACACTGCTTGTTAATAGGTATTCTAGCATGTTTAGGTAGTCAGCCTTAGGTTAGTTCACTGACGGAGCTT